CAAGAGTTTGAAGACATCCAAACGTTCGACGAGGATATTCAGTTGGTTGCAAAGTGGTTCTAGACCAGATCAAAAATCGATTGATGTGAGTGTAACTCTAGATACATTATACAAGAATTTTGATTCATTGGTTGTCAAAAATCATGTCTTATGTCGAAAGTGGACTGATAAGACAGCAAAGGAACGAGAGCAAATTGTGGTACCTACCTATCTAACTCCTAACATACTGGAAGAAGCCCACTGTCAAGTTGGACATTTAGGTGTTGTAAAAACGTTTGAGATGATTCAACGGAAGTTTTATTGGCCTGGATTCATTAAAGCTGCTGAAGAATTTTGTGGAAATTGTGAAGTTTGTCCCAAAAATAAAGCAATACCTAGGCCGCCGAGTCCGATGAAGCCAATCGGGGTGGTACCCATACCATTTTATATGATTGGTGTAGACATTATTAGTAAAAACAACTAGTCCGTTAGAAACAAATACATTTTGTCAGCCGTTGATTACTACACAAAGTACGCAGAGGCAGTAGCATTGCCAAATCAAGAAGCAGTTACAGTTGCGAGAGCCCTGGAAGACATCTTTGCTAGACATGGAATGCCCTCAGTCCTACTAACAGATCAAGGCAGTAATTTGAGTCCAAAGTGATTGCAAGTCTATGTGAAATGTTTGGAATTGAAAAGAGACGGACTACAGCCTACCATCTCCAAACAGACGGGTTGTGCGAGCAGTTTGATGGTATTTTGAAATCCTTGTTGAGAATGAGAGTAAACAAAGAGAAAAATGATTGGGACGAGCAGCTGCCACATGCGTTACTGGCTTGTCGGGTTAGTACGCAATCCTCTACGGGTGTGACACCATTCGAAATGTTATATGGTAGAGAAGTGAGATTGCCATTTGGAACGGATCAAGAAAAACTGGTATCTAGCCCAACACATGGTCCAGCCAAATACGTCGAAGAGTTAAAGAAGAGACAAGATATTCTCTGGAAATTGGTTACTAAAAGGATCGAGAAAGCGCTAGAGAAGCAGAAACGTAGTTATGATTTACGGTATCGAGCACAACAAAACAAGCGGTTTTACATGGGGGACACTGTTCTATTAAAGAATTTTCGAGCGCGAGGTTTAGATGAAAAGTATACGGGTCCTTACATCATTGTTAACATTCGAGAGAACGATTGCGAGATAGAGTCATTGGAAAGCAGAAAACGTAAAGTTGTACATGCGAATAATCTAAGACGGTTTGTCGTAGAAACAGTTGCTAATCCATTGAGTGAGAAATCGGAAGACATGCTAAGTTCTGATTCGGATGAGTCTACGATTGAACTTATTAATGAGCGTTTTGGAGTACGTTTAGCACCACGTGGAATCGATGATCAAGCAGAACCATTAAATTTACGTTATAATTTAAGACAGAATCGAAGACAACCCGATCGTTATGGAGTACCTGTGGTGGATTATTGAACACTGTGAACAGATAAGTTAAACACTATTATAGTAATGGAAGAACAGCATGAACTTTGTCGATTTGAACTATTTTATACCTACTTTCGTGTTGAGTTAACCAGTGAACTGATATAGTCAGTAGTCAAGTTGATTTTAGGTGGGGGAAGTGTAGAGAAGCGCCTTTTAGTGTATGCGTTTTAGTGCCTTTTAGTGTATGTGTTTTTGGAGGGGAGAGAACCGCATGGGAGTGAGATATTGTAGAGTTAGGGTGAAATCGTAAGATGTATTTTGTGGAGATTAATCGTTGTTGAGTATTGTAATTTAAGAAATAATTAAAGAGTTTTGGTATTATCTTAGTCCAGTAGTGCTTCGTGACACCCGTGAGCAATATGGGGAAATCCTGCCTTGCCAGCAGCCCACAAGATTGTGCAATTCACCAAAACAACAGCCATGTATCAAAGAAGATCAGGTAAGAACAAGAACGTCAGCCTTGATAGTGAGTGAAGTTTTATCCGATTCTAAATTAGAAGAAATGTCTTTATAGTTTGTGCTCTTCAACCTTTCAAGGAATGTGGCCCTGATAATATTACACCGCGTATATGTATTAAAGGAATATGCTCACGAGTTTGCGGAGACCGTTGCAATCTTTTCTAACACACCCTTAAGCTTTGAAACATTTCCCGCCGTCTGGAAAGATTCGTACCTTTCCCCAATTCCAAAAGCGTCAAAACCGACTTGTGAAGGAGATTCACGACCAATCTCTCTCACTCCTTGTCTATCTAAAGTCTTGGAGGACTTTGTTGTACAATAGATATATTTAGATTTGACGACGTGAAGGTAAAGACGACGTGAATTGATCGCGGAGAACTGGATCGACAACGCCGTCGTGTTGTCATTTAAATTTGATTTAGATTTGCAAGACGACGCTGTAGAACTTGTCCTATCGAACTTCAAAGCCATCTTGTTATTGAAGTTTCCAAGGCTTAAACAAATAATTTAAAATTGATCAAACATGTTCATACATAACGAATATAGACGTGCCAAAATGGTGGAACTGATTTCCCTTTGTCCTTTGATTTCGATAAGTGACTTTAAACTAATTATATTTCTTTTCTAATATGTAATGACAGTAATGTTTGTTGATATCATTGTATCCAGGTGATCTTGATACGCAGAAAAGTACTGGCACTAGTTGTCAAATAGAAATCCATTTTATGATTAAAACAACTGAATATTTCCTGTAATATACTTTATTTCGATTCCATATTTTTGTCAGAGCTATAGTTCTCATAACCAAACATAATTACGAAATTTCAACTAGTTTCATAAAGAATAATGAAAGATATAATTGACTGAATACATCTAAATGGATTTCTATTCAGACAACCCTTTCTGAGCGCTGATTGGCTAAAATACGAACACGAGATCACCTGGATAGTTAAACAAAATGAATTTTTGTCGTTTTATTTATTCGTCATTATGTCATGATGGTTTTTTTTACTGTTGAAGACAGTCTATGACTAAGAAAATTAAATAATTGTCATGGCAGTTGGTGGTTTGCAAGCTGCTCGAGATGCTTTGATCTTTGCACATGCTGCATGAAAATATTATAGACGACGAAAAATTTGTTTTACTCTACAATTACAATCGGTTCAAGTCGCTTTTTCCGCATTGGCCGTGGTTGGCTCTCGCCGGCCTTGTTTCTCCGACCAAAATGCGAAAAAAACAAATAAATACATAAACAAATACTGACCAGTGCTACAACATGTTTTGATACAAATGCGCCACATACATTCAGCTATATGCTTGAAAAATATACGTAAAAATACTACAACGTATACTACGTATAAATACTACAACGTATTCAACGTATAACTTGTCCTTAAACATAAAATTTCAAAAAAATACCTTAAATGACAGTTTAAAAATGATTCCTGGTTCAAAATTGTTTTTATAAATCGGCAATAGAAACACCAGGCGGAAATCGAATTCTAGTTAAAAATATTATTGCCCAGCAAATAATTCGTAAAAGAGGCATATTCAAAAAACATTTGGTATATAAAAATATATATTGAGTAACGTTAAAGTTGTATTAGACGAACAAATTGTTTTTTGGCAACTAAAATTTGTTGCCCATGCGGCAAAACGATCCGAAAAATAAATAATTTTACTTAGCAAACCTTCTGTTGTCTTGTTAAGTAGAAAAGCATCTATTGCAATGAAACTAAAAGCTTTTTATCCAGCTTTTATCGCGTCGTTTTAGTAGTTTATCAGCCATGGATGCTCACACTAAAGTAACAAACGCAACTGATCTCAAATGTACTTTGCAACTGGAATTTTATCGGAATTTCATTCTAACCATGAAACCATCAAATAGAAAAATAAACACGCTATTTATCGTTTAGGTCGGTCCGTACTAAAAAATATTTTCCCTCGGCAAAAACAAATGTGGTCGAGGGTTGTTGCATGCATGTATTTCTAGTTTGGCCTGTGAGTGATTATAGAGTTTGAGAGTAAAGTGTGTATAATTGGTTCACTTCACCCTGACCACAACAGTGTATAATTTATAATTTTATTCACTGGGCGTGCTTGAATCATTAATGTCGAGGATAACCAATCAGTTTTATGCATGAGCTCATAATTTCATAGGATATGTATATAATTCTCGCAATATATATGCAATAATAAAAAATTAGCTATTCAAGAGAGATGCCTAGATTCATGGAATATTGGCGGGCGGTTGTTATACCCAGGCTGGTCTTTCAAAGGCACTTGTACGATTGTTTTACCCACAACAATTCTATGTCTACCCTTTTGGAAGTTTCACATTTTATTTCGCAGTCTTGTGAAATTCAGTTTGGAACTGGAACATTTTACATTGTGAAAATGCACATTTCATATGCGAAATTTAGAATTTTCGCATATGAAATTTGAGTTCACATATTCTTTTTACATATTTGAAAGTATTTAATATTCGTCAGTTGACCAATCCCCATTAACCAAAATTTTGAACTCAACACGTCTAGACAAGTTTCATCACAGCGTGAAAGAGCATCACAAAATAAGTAATATAATTCCAAAGTTTCGTTGCGAAATGTTGTAAAATGCGGATAATATAGCCTTGCGAAATTTGCAATTTTCAGTCATTTTGTATTACGAGCGGGAATCGGTTACCACTTTTCCAAAATTTTGATCTCAACAAGCCTAAACAAAATTTCATCACAGCTTGAAAGAGCATTACAAAATTAGTAATATTCCAAAGTTTCGTTGCGAAATGTTGTAAAATGCGAATAATATAGCTTTGCGAAGTTTGAAATTTTCAGTCATTTTGTATTGTATAATATTTTCGACTAATCTGCTCTGTTAAATATCAAATTTATTATATTTACGCTATTGTTTACACCAAATCCCCATATTCTCGTCGCTCTTGTTTTTATATTAAATGTCAATCACGCTATAATTGTCTTTAGTGTCATTACTATAAATATCAATGTCAATTAGTTAATTTCCGGTTATATTAAAGTTTATAGTTTATCTACACTCCCCCCTTGACCATTGCGTCAGCGTTGTTCAAAATGTCTGCGAACACTATCTGCTTTGATAGCTTCCTTTCGTCTAGCTGGTTTCGATGATTCAACTGTTTCGTTCTTTTCTTCAGATAATTTCTTCTGCTCGCTAACTGTGTTACTATTCACTTCCAATGGACAAAGTCTTTGAACTGGTCTTCGTAGGATCGTATGGGATCCCTTCTTTGTAACTGTTCTCAATACAGCTCCTCTTGTCTCTCCATCTCTACCTTTCATCAATTCCTTAACTTCTGCAAGTTTCCATTTCGATCTCGGTAGTCCATCATCCTTTATCAATACAACATCTCCTACTTGAATTCTTCTCCTTGATTTGGTGGATTTGCTGTTGTGAAATTCTCTCAAGTCTACTAAGTATTCTCTAGACCATCGTTTCCAAAAATGTTCCAGTAATTTGCTTAGATAACGTGCTCTACGTTTGAACGTTGCTTCCGAACTTTCGTCATCACTAAGCTGACTTTCACTTGGTAATGTGGCAAGCCGTCTCCCGATGGTCAGGTGTGAAGGAGTTAATGGTTCCTCAGTTAGATCTGGATAAACATAAGTAATAGGTCGCGAATTCAGAACTCCTTCGATTTCAGTCAGTACTGTCATGAATTCCTCGTAACTCAATTGAGCTCGTCCCAGAACTTTGCGTAAACTTAGCTTAACAAGTTTAACCATTCGCTCGTAGTAGCCACCCCACCACGGCGCCTTTTCTAGAATAAACTTCCATGTGATACCCATATTCTCTGCAAATTGTTGTAGATTTTGTCCCTCAAATATCTTGATTATTTCCTTGTTTGCTCGTTTGAAAGTTTTTGCATTGTCCGATGTTATCGTGGCCGGCGTACCTCGTCTTGCAGTGAATCTCCTTAAACATCGGATGAAAGCTTCGGTAGAGAGGTCAGGCGTCAACTCTAAGTGAAGTGCTCTAGACGTCGCACACGTATACAAACAGATGTAAGCTTTCTTCATCTCCTTTTCGTGACCATTCATTTCCTTTACATAAACCGGACCAGCGAAATCTACGCCGACGTGGGTAAATGCAGTTGTTTCTGTAACTCTCGTTTCGGGTAGATGAGCTGGTTGAGGTGGTTGGAAAGTCACACCTTGGATTTTCTTGCACGTTACGCATTGTTGTAGAATCTTTCGCACGAATTGTCTTCCTTTCGGGATCCAATAAACACTCCTAACCTCTGCTAGCGTTTCTCTTGTACCACCGTGATGAATCTTCTCGTGACACGATTTAACAACAAGAGTGGAAAGATGGTGGTTTCGTGGTAGTAACACTGGATGTCTAGTTTCGTCTGGCAGTGATGCATGATCCAATCTCCCCTTGCACCTCAGGATGTGTTCTACATCACCGTACACTCCGAGTTGTTGTTGCAAGGTCTCGTAGTTTGGCTGCTGTTCAAGTTCTATTTGACAATTACGAATCCAAGTGTTCCTAGCTTCTGTAATCTCTGCTGTAGTTAAAACAATGTTTTCTGAACATTGATAATCATTGTGTTTTTCCTTCAGGATATTAACAAATCTGAACACTAAAGCTGTAACTCTGAGCAATTTTGCAAAACAACTAAACCGGGTAATGTCAATAATCCTTGACAGGTTAGTGTTCTTGACAGACGTGGTTTCTTTAACAAGGTTGGTAGCTGTAGTGGTCGATATTGCCTTAACTCGCAGTTCCTTGAGGCATTCTTCTGACTGATCTTCGGTTTCCTCTATTTTCTCTGACATTGGGTAACTCTGTGGAGACTGCTTTAGCCAGGTAGGGCCGTTCCACCACAAGTCATTGCTTACAAGTTCTGATGGTAAACATCCTCTGGAACCAATGTCTGCAGGATTGGTCTTTCCAGCACAATGTCGCCAGTTTTCTGCATTTGTCAGTTTCAGGATTTCATCGATTCTGTTCTGAACAAATTGCTTGAATTCTCTATTCGATTGGATCCAATAGTAGACCGTGATGCTGTCTGTCCAACAGAAAATCTTTTCGATATCAATGACTCCGCTGAGTGCTTCCTTGACTGTGGAAATCAGACGTGCAAGAATGAGTGCAGCGATCAGTTCAAGTCTCGGTATCGTTATAGGTGTCAAGGGTGCTACTCTGCTCTTCGAACCCACAAGACTTGTCATGTAGCCATCCTCGGTTTCTACGCACAGATAAACGACCGCGCAGTAAGCTCCCTTTGACACGTCTCCAAATCCATGAAGAGTGACTGATTCTATTCTCTTAGTCGCAGTTGGAAAGTAATAACGCTGAATTAGAATTTGGTCAACTTTCTCCGCATCATCGAGCCATATCCGAAGAATTTTGGCACTTGATTGGGTAATAATACTGTCCCAGTCATATTTCTTGGCACATAAATCTTGCAGCAGCATACGAAGTTGCACTGTCGCTGGCGAGATCAAGCCCAAAGGATCAAACAATTTGGCAGCAACTTTCAAGACGTTCCGTTTTGTTGGTTCAAGACCTTCTCCAAGGTTAGAGATCTTGTTCAGTTTCAGAATAAATGTATCGTTTTTAAGGTTCCAGTTAAGTCCCAAAACTTTATGCTCCGTAGTAGGGTCAATTTCGTCCAGACCACCACCCGTGGTTTTGGCATAAGATTCGTCGTCCTTTGTGGCGATATCAGCTTTATTTACTCCTTCTCTTTGTTCTCTCTCTTGGATAATCTTGTCGATGACTGCTTTGTTGTTCGATGCCCATTTTCGCAACTTGAAACCCCCTGAAGCAAAACACTCGTTAGTTTCACGATACAGTTCATACGCTCGATCTTCATCTTCTTCGCCTGATGTCCAGTCGTCCACGTACAAAGCATCTAACAGGGCCTTTGCCAAAGCTAGATCTTTACGATAATATTCCGAAACGTGTCCAGCCACAGAAATCGCATCAAATCTCTTTGTTTCTCGTCAATAGCTATGTTCAAAAAAGCCTTTTCGATGTCGGCAACTAGTCCTACTTTGTTTCGTCTGAAGCGTAGTAGTATGTCAAATATTCCTGGTGTTAATGACGGGCCAGTATAAATGCAATCGTTCAAGGAAGGATAATTCTTGCAGACCTTCGCACTGGCGTCAAATACAACTCTTGTCTTTGTGGTTAATGCATCTTTTCTGATGACCGCTTGATGCGGTAAGTAGTGTGTCTGTCCGACTTGATGCTCTTGCGATTCTTGAACTCTTTCAACTATTCCCTGGTGAAGCTGGTCTTCGATAATTCCGTTGTACTCTTGAAGGATTGGTTGGTCTTTACGCAGACGTTTAACCAAAGTGTTCAATCTCGCTAAGCTCAGGTCGTAGTTGTCTGGTAAAAGTTCGTGTTGTTCCTTTAATGGTAGGCTAACAGAATATCTTCCATCTTCAAAGGTGACGTTCTTCAAAAACGATTCGTGGACTGTTTCTTTATCTCGTATACCAATGGACTCGATATCCCATAACTTGTGAAGTAATTCTTCAGCTGTGGGTTTCTCTTGGCAATTTCCGGCAATCTTTAGCACGTGTGCTGAAACAAAATTTACGTTAGACAGTTTCTGTTTCTTCGTAGTTGAAATTGGACCCGATAGTACCCATTCAAGACTTGTTTTGCTCGCCACTGAACCAATCTCTTGCTCTTCTCTCGCGATTTCGCCCGTGAAAAAGGACCACATATAATCCGCTCCGATCAGCAACTGAATTTCCATCTCTTCGTTACCATGGTTACTATCAGCTAAGTCGATTTTCTTCAGATGAGCATAACAACGTTTGGCTCGGTCGATTTCTTGATTAGAAATTGGCGCACAAATATCAAGCACAACATAGGCTTCCATTTTGGTCGAGAAACGTCCTCCAATATCTCCGACTGTGAATTGAACTTTGTCACAGGTTTCCTTGCGGTTGATCTCATCATTTCCGAACGTTTTTATGACCAAAGACTCCTTGGCGATTGTTGGTAATTTCAGTTGATCTCGCACACTTCTTTTAATAAAACTCTTCTGACTTCCTGAATCAAATATAACTCTAACACGAACCCCGGAATTTGACTCTCTTAATCCAACGAAAGCTTGTGCAGTTTGAAGTAGAATGGAGTTCTTTGAGCTAACGTAAAGTGTGCTGGACTGGTTGGACTTTTCTTCTGGCGATTTCCCAAGGTTGTCTCGTTTTTGTTGTTGTTCACTCTCGCATAAACTAACATGATGTTTTCTTGAGCACTTTTGACAAGTTGTTTTCGTTTGACAATCTCGGGCGATGTGGTTTCGTTTAAGGCATCTAAAACACCGTCCTTGTTTCATTAAAATCTGTTTTCTCGCTTCTACGTTTGTGACAACTTTGCATTCTACTGTTGGGTGTGGCTGTTTACAATAGGTACAGTCAACTCGCGCTGCTTTTTCTTCTGCCAACAACGCTGCTAATGACGAAGGATCTTTTCGCTGATATTTTCTCTCGCGGTTTTCTGAAGGTGTCTCGATCGCTTTAATTCCCTCACATCGTTCTCGGTTCTTAATTTCTTCTTGTAGAAGGCGAAGTAACTCATCAAGTTTCCAATCTTTGTCTTCTTTAATCTGTCGCCCTAGCAATATTCGAATGTCCTCTGGAATTTTGGTCATCAATATAGGCACCAAAAGACTACCGTATGATTCAGTGGGAACTTGTAGACCTCTTACATGTGTCTCAACTTTGTCGTACATTTGTCGTAGTTTCTTTACGTCATTCGAAACGTTCAATGATGTTATTTTTAACAAACTGTCCATATGACCGCTAATTATTACTTGTTTATTTCCAAAGCGCTCTTGTAATAATTTCACCGCTGTATCGTAGTTTTCTGCCGAAAGTTGTAGACCTGCGATTGTCGACGCTGCTGGACCTTTCAAGAGACTCTTGAGATAATTAAATTTGTCCACCTTGGACAGTTCATCATTCTTATTAACAGCGCTTTCAAAACAATTCCAAAACGACAGCCATTGAGTTGGTTCTCCGTAAAATGTATTTAATGCAAGTTTCGGTAGTTTTGCGTGTTTATTCTTCGATCCATTGCTTTGCGATAAACTCTCTGCTTCTCCGATTAAATTGTCTCCGTTGTTTTCTAGTTGTTGGTGTAATTTGCTCTTCGACAAAACGCTATCGATCTCTACAATAGCGCCATAAATATTCTCGGTAAACTCTCCAGACTCTTCTATTTCGCTCGTAATTTCGCTGTCTTCAATAACTTCAAGTATTTCTTCGTCTAAAGTTTTCAGTTTCTTTAATCTCTCTTCTAAGGAAATCTTGAGTTGTCTCAATCTGCTTTCATTCGACGAGTCATAATTCTGTATTACGCTTTTCACATTTCCTAATATTTTCGAAGCGTAAGCTCGGTGATCTTGGCGTATTTTCTTCTTTTTCGCAACGGTAGACATCTCTCAATCGTTTAATCCGACTCTCGAAGGACCATGTATAATATTTTCGACTAATCTGCTCTGTTAAATATCAAATTTATTATATTTACGCTATTGTTTACACCAAATCCCCATATTCTCGTCGCTCTTGTTTTTATATTAAATGTCAATCACGCTATAATTGTCTTTAGTGTCATTACTATAAATATCAATGTCAATTAGTTAATTTCCGGTTATATTAAAGTTTATAGTTTATCTACATGTATTACGCGCGTGGTAACCATTTTCCGTTTGCGATCTAAAATGACTGAAAATTGCAAACTTCGCAACGCTATATTATCCGCATTTTACAACATTTTGAAACAAAACTTTGGAATATTACTAATTTTGTGATGCTCTTTCATGCTGTGATAAAATTTTTGTCTAGGCTTGTTGAGTTCAAAATTTTGGTTAATTGGGGATATATTGGTCCATTAGAACAGTTCACAAGCGAAGGTAATTATCACTAATAGTCTACCTGAGTGTGATAATATTTATGCGCATACCTTTTTCAAGAATTCGGCCAGAACTTCACATCTGTCCGGCTTATCACATCCTTGTGAATACTCTTGGAACTTTAACGATAAATATTTTATCGTAATTTTTTTCCGGCATCGCCATAGTGCTGGACACATTGGATCGAGTTTGACTATAGCCTCATAGTTTGGGAAATCCAGTTCATATACCAATCTCATCAAAGGATTATTTCCTGCAGGTTGATAGGTTTAAATGTTAAGTTTAAATCGACTAAGCAATCCAAGGATTTTCATTTCAGTTGCAAAGTTTTTAATTAATTGCTACAGTGAAAAGTAGATAATGCCGGATATCGTGAACGCAAATATTCACTATTCATTTTCGGGTGTGATTGGAAAGAAAGTTGTTAGCGGACAGTTAACACGCCCACACCACATACACTTTTTCAAACGACCATCCACCTAATTTCTTAACTCTCCCAATACACGAAAAACTTCAGTACATGATTTGAAATTCGTCCTTAAAAACGTAAAATATTTACGATTAAGGTTAACATTTTTGTAATCAAGTTAATTAACATAATTTTCTCGTTTTGTCGCAACCTTACAAATCTCCTTGATGTTTAAAACAATATTTATCCACTTTGTGTATATTAAAGAGCCAATGTCACGGAATTGGTGTATTTCGATTGTTTAGGTTATTCTATGATTTTTTGTAATATATTGCATAATTTGAAAATTTGATCTTCATGGACTTTTTGGCGCTCAAGGTCGTGTTACGGTGAGTATAAAAGAACTGGGGGGGAATGCCTTTGAGCGCCGGTGTGACGCCATTTCGAGAACAAATCAAAATAAAATACATGTGATTTATGAAAGTTTAGCGGTAAAATCGAGCGTAAATTGGATGCTTTTGGAAATTCGTCGCTATTTCATTTGCATTTTAAATGATTATATCTCTAAGCCGCAGTTGTCCAATCGACGGGAAGATTGGGCGAGAAACAAACTTTATCGCTAGGAGTGAAAGTCAAACACGATGCTATTCTGGTGCTAATCCATCAAGTTTTATTACGGCAACATCGGGACAAAACGGCAACAAATGGTCGGCTGTTGCTAAATCTAATGTAAATCTAAATCTAAATCTAATGTAAACGAAGCCAGCAATTGTATTATATCTATAAAGTATAAAATTATATTAAAGTAATGGTTCTTTATACAGGGTGTATAAAAAAAGGAGACCTATAGAAATCAAGCATATTGTTAAAATTTGAATGCCTTTTCAATTGCACATATGCTGAACAGTGCATGTGGTGCGTGAAATAATGATGGAGTCCATATACTGTACAGGGTGTATAAAAAAGGAGACCTTTAGAAATCAAGCATATTGTTAAAATTTGAATGACTTTTCAATTGCACATAGCTGAACCGTAACGCGTGAAATATTGATGGTGCATATATTACAAAAAGGAGACCTTTAGAAATTGAAATAACGTTAAAAAAAACATTGTCTGCTCCTGGGAACAATCTGCGATGCATACTGTACGTAGATCGCATGTTACGCACTCGTTGGGCTTAGCAAAGTGCTCCATGCAGGATTCAAATTATAACAATGGCTGATTTCTAAAGGTCTCCTTTTTCATATACAGCATATTGTTTCATGAATCTGAAATGATTTTGGCAAATTGCAAATATCAATGTAAAATTATAATTCCTGATGTCTGGAATGACCTCTTGATTGTTCGCATTTGGCAAGGAATCGAAATGGTTTCATCTGTTATCAGACAAGTTAAGAGCTGAAGAACGCAACAAGTTCATGATTCATAAATACAAAATTAATTTTAAAATTTAATTTTATGTAGCCCAGCAGGCAGAACCATGAATAGTATTTTATTCATGCTTTGATTACATTTTGCAGGCAAGACGAGAATCGCGAGTTTATCCAAAGACATATTTTTCATGCATACCTATCAGACACAATAAAACAAGTTCACCTAATTAACTATGGTTTTGATGATGTCAGGTGTTGGGTTAACCAATCATATAAAACTACTCTAAAATGACCAAGTCAGTGGCGAAACTAAGGGCATTTGACTAGTCATGCTCTAAGACCCGCATAGGCTAGGGGAGTCCAGCGGGAGCATGTACCCCCGGGAAAATGTTGATTTTCGAAGTCTGCAATGGCCATTTCCTGCGATTTCACGGTGAAATTCATGCAAAGAGAACAACAAAAAAAAGTGTGATAAGAGGAAAATTCTTAATACTTTTTCTTTTTCAAATTTGTATTTCCACAAAATTTTATTTTATTTCACTATATATTTCAACTTAATTGAAAATGTCGCTCAATATAGCCAATATTGCATGGCAGAAGAAAGAGGAGAATATTGTACGTATACATTTTAATACACTTCTATAATATGATCTTTCATTAGGAATTGCCTAAGGTCAACTGTAGTATACTATAGTTTATAGTGTCTACAAGGACCTTGTAAATCTAAAGCAGAACCTAATGTTAAAAGATACTTTGTTTAGATATTTGGTATATCTGTAAATACCCAATTATATAAGAACTCCTGCAATAAAGCAAATGAACTGGTATAGTAAATATATTTATGTCAATAGGAAAGGTCTTCACAAATCTTGTTTATATTCGCCATTATATACAGTAGTATACACAATCGAGTCTGTTCACATGCATTTCGTAAGCTAAAATATCTTGTTAGAAGCCAGTAATATTCTATCCAAATCAAAATAGCCTTCCTATACGATTCACTTGATTGACGTTGGCCAATTTCCATATACACATACCTAAGATAACTTGAAGAAATCTCGACAGAATTGCCGAATAATTTACGGTATTTAACTAATTGGTCGTGCTTTCGAAGATGAGCACGACCAGAAGACAAAATTCCACGAGATACGCATGCGTGAGGAGCAATTGAGCTAACAGAATGCGTTGGAATTTATAATTTAGTCGTGCTCGCCTGATGATCGGACAAACTAGGTCGCAACAACATACCATACGTTGTGGAGTATACCCCAAGGATATAATTTGGGACCACTATTGTTTCTCCTATATATAAACGATCTACCAAACTGTTTATCGTATACATCTGCGATACATCGTATACATCTGCGATACATCATTCAAACGCGTTTAAATGATGATCTAGAACAGATTCATCAATGGTTGTTGGCAAATAAATTGACTTTAAATAAAGATAAAACAGAATACATGATAATTGGTTTGCGACAAAGACTATCAAAGATTGAAACTGACCCTGTAATTGAATTAGGTGAAACAAAAATTAAGCGTGTTAAGTATTCGAAAACGTTAGGCGTTATTATAGATGATCAACTTTTGTGGAAAAGACAAGTGGAAACCACTGTATCCAAGGTGTCGAAAGGTATAGGTATGCTGAGACGAATTAAGAGTTGTGCCCCAAAAGGAACATTGATAAATGTTTACAACACAATAATACTGCCATATTTTGATTACTGTAGCCTTGTTTGGACTAACTGCAGCGAATATTTGCGCAACGAAATGCAGAAAATGCAAAACAGGGCTGCAAGGGTCATCACTGGCAGACCATATGAAATAGCAACAAAAGAAATATTTGAGGAATTAAATTGGCAACCCTTAGCTGATCGATGGGAGAAAAATAAGTTAGTGTTTGTTAGTTTTAAAACGCGAATATGCGTGACTCAAGGAAGGACGGCCAATCCTCTAGTTCGTTCTGTTGTGTAAGGACAATGTTTTGTATCTGTGGATGCTCAGGTAAATTATTTCTATCCACATTGTATTCTACGTACTCGCAGTGGTTTTCAAGCCAAAGTTAAAAGTCATTGGTGCGCGTGTAAACCAACGTGAGTAAACATTTGACCTTTCTTTTGTACAGTTGTAATCATAGGTTTTATATGTTGTTAAATGATTTAGTTATTGTACATTCAGTTGAAATATTCACTTATGTTTAGTTAATGCATGTTAGGGTATGATATTGTTCATTTATTGATATAGTTATTGCGTATTCGTGCGATCGTGTGATTCATGACAAAGTCACGCAACATTATATTTTCATAGTTTAAGTGGATATTTTTCATTGTCATGTTGTTTAGTTCGAACCGATAACCGATATTCGATAACCGATTGTATGCGACTATATCTTCTACTCTCGTGAACATTTTGGATCCGTATTATAAAGTATAACCTTATTTACGAACTGTGTCTGTGTTCATTTGTTTATCATCTACCGAGTTCGAAAAATCTGCGCACCATTCAACCCGAATGTAATCTTATTGGTTTACTGTCAAAAAATTCAATTGTTAGTACAGTTCATTTGTTGTTTTCTGCCATTGGGATTACAGTGTTTATGTATAAAGCGAAAAATAGTGAGCTACCAAAAAGTAAGAACCAATTGTTCGAAATTGCTAATAATCAAAACTACAATTTACGCAGCAACGGTTTCTTTTACAAAAGCCAAAAACAAATTACATGAAAAAAGTATCAGTTATAATGGAGCTATAGCGTGGAACAATTTGTCAAATAATGCAAAAGCATGACAATTGGACAATTTAAGGCTGCTCTCGACCGCAAATAATACGTAATTCTCTTCTGTAAATATTTTTCTATATTTGATATTTCCTGCATGTTAATTAAGTTACTTTGTATTATTCTGTAAATATCATAGATATCTTATACACACTAGATAGCGCATCTCTTTTAGTAAAATTGAAGCCAAGAATATTCCAGCGGTTACTCCCATTTGAATAGATGGCGGCCATGTTGGTCGTTCCCACTTGCTAATAAACGCTTAAAAACAACGATAACTTTCATCATTTGAAAACTTTAAAAACGTATTTGGAATAGGGTTAACTTAATGTTTAAGTTCCATGTTTAAGAAATAGAAAACATACGAATCTTCTCATTTTATGGGAACGACCTGAGACTGCAATCACGGCTTCAATTTTTGAATTTCAGAATAATTAGATGCACTATCTAGTGTATATAAGATATGCATGTTAAATCCTAACTACGTTGTTGTGATGTAAATAATGTATATTTTTAATTTAATATTCTGTTAATATTTTAAACGGCCTCTTGGAAATCAACTACCTAGGTGTGTTGAAGAGTTACCGTTTTTAAATAAGAGTTAATTAATAATAAATCATAATAATAATGAGAGCACGACTAACGGGCGGAGTACCCATTAGTCGTGCTATTAACCCGAGGTCGGTTGCAATACGCAACCATATCCTAAATAATCCAAGATGGCGAACAGCCCACTTTTTTCAGTCGAAATATTTTGAAAACTAAGCAAGATATAAACAATCTGTAATAGAGTTTAATATATAGTTTTAAGAGTTCTTTCAAATGAGCAAAACTAATTTTTTATTGCCAATGTCCTTTAAGGGTACAGTTCTATTTAAAATTCATTCAAAATACTGAAGAAATTTCCAGAAACATCCAGTTTATACTCAACTTTGGTCACGATTATATCATATAATAAATCATACGTATTATGTTTGGACGTGTTCCCTAAATGACGTCAAGCCGGCGCTGAAAGGCGTTCTCGCCCCAGTATTTTCGTGCTCACGGTCAAACGCTCAAAATAGACAAAATTGCCAACAACAGCGAGAAATAATGGACGCGCACGTGCCATGTACTTATTGACTTTGAAACGATTAAGTAAATATCTAAAGGTTTTAAAAAGGAGAATTGAAATATCGTACCCTTTTCACCACTTTCAACTTAAAATATATAGTAATCTTATCAATCCGATACAGATCGTGTACACCAACTCATATTGAAATATATTAAACAATATTATATTTCATGCATAGGTGTTAGAATCGTTTCGTTTTTTGATATTTAAGTTTAGTCAGTCTTTAAACACAACAGAGGCTAATACGATTGATTGTAAACATGAACAATCTTACCGCAGAAATTGTCAAAATATATGTGTGCATGATATATCTTCGTACTTGTTTCAATCTTATTTCAATAGAATAAAGTACTATTTTCTTTATTCTACATATCATCTTCCACATTTATTTGCCGTTGTTTCGGTTTTTAACCTCAAAATTTGAGCATTTTCTAATCGGCGAATGAAAATTTCATTTCGAAATTTCGACAAAAAACATGTTTAAAGAAAACGTGTTTAAACGAAAGAAAACGTGTTTAAACGAAAGAAAACATGTGGTCGTGGTCGTATGTATACATATATAAATGTTCTGCCTATAGACTTGAATTCTGACAGGGAAGCCATTGCTTCTCGCACGCGAGAGTGGAGGAGGTATTAAAATAAGATTCCATTCCCCTTTCGTAATAAAAAAGATCAACAAATTCTCTCTAAATACACTGTTACTTACCAAGTCTTTCATCTTGGACTATACGACTCGAACTGTCCTGGAGCAGTTGAGAAATAGCCTAAGAACGTCAAAATGTAATATTTAGCCGATATCTATTGAACTTCAATTTGAAGAAATCGTGATTGTTTGCATATCTATTAAACTTTAATTTGAAGAAATCGTGATTGTTTGCATTTTTCCCCGTTTTCAATCTCTTTTGAAGGGCATCAGCTCATTGCATTTTCCGTCTGGTACATCTGTATTGCTATACTTTTAGGATTCTGGCTCATTTTCCACATATATATATAGGTTTTTTAGCACGCGCATGCACATAGACTGTCACAGCAGTCCAAATTTACGATCCACAAAATCGATGGAATTGGTAGACTTCTTCACAATCAATTATACGAATGGCAAAGTATTCGCCGGAAACTATTGGCCTTGGCAATAGAGGCTCGTTTACGGCTTATCTTATAACTACTGATATTAATAATGATGTTAAGGAAGTTTACAGATCTATGCATGATTTGGTAGATGTCTTTAGTAATAGTATAGATGGCTCCGTATCCAAGGTCACAGTCGCAAAACCGGCGCGCCATGGAGCAATTACTTTTGTTTGTTCATGTGAAACGTTTATAGTGCAGTATAAGAAATCTTCCCAAATCTCGTTGTTTAATTAATAAATTAGATATTGAGAAATAAATTTTTAGGTCTGACTTGAGGTAGGGAAATTGATTTCACGGTATAATTAATGTAAGTAAAAATAGTCCCTGCGTAGTAATTTTTACAAATAAATGTTCATGTAGGAGAAACGAACAGATTTATTGCAGGCAAATTATGTAAACGTTATTGTATCTGATCTTGTGATGTAAAAACTTACGGAAAGAACAGGATTCAAGTAAGTGGTCATAAATGTATCTTCCCAAACTCTTCTTGAATCTTTGGTTGTCAGATTGCCATCAATATTTGAGTTAGCTATAATAGTAAACATTTTTAAATTTTAAAAGTTTGAAAAGAAATCAATGACGCATAAAATAAATTATATCCATAAAATCAGTCATGCGTTTAATAAATTGTGAACGGCTAATACAGCAAAACGTTTTAGTTGGACTTAGTGTGTATCAAACTGTCCAGACTTTGATAGTTCATAAAAAGCCTTCCAAATTTGCACCCTAAGAATTCAAATTGCGTTTTCAGCCTTCCATTTTTTTCCGTAGGAAAAAAAGTGAAAATTTTCAGTTTAGCAGACATTTTCGAACTGTGCAGTTTATTTTATACACCGCGTGTTTCAGGCGTATTAAAAAAGGTAATTAAACTTTGACATGTTATCGCGCATTATAGGTATATTAAATTTTAAAATTTACTTTTTTCATAGTTAAAAAGATCAGGATTCTACTGTAATTGTCAAATGACACTTTTTTGTATCATTGCGATAAAAAATGGCCAAAATGATCCGATTTAAAGTTATCATTCGCAATCACATTTTCCACCATTGGGAAAATAAACGCTCAATTTTTGAACATACGAACAAATGCTGGTTGCTTTTTTGGGAAACAATCTGCATCGTGAATTAAGTCCGCAAACGTCCAGTTAAGTTTAATGTATTAAGCACTAAATTTCGATGCAAAATCGCGAGTTGAAATTCACCAACACATGGTGATCAATCCACCTCTTACATCATCTTTGTTCAAGTTCTTAAATTTCAATCCGAAATCAGAATAATTTCAATACTAAGATAACAGCTTTGCATCCATTCCATTCCCAAAAATGGAAAAATGCAATTTCAACCGGCCACTTTAAATCGGATAGTATTTGGCTAATTTTAATCGCAATGATAAATTTAAAGCTAAAAGCCTGAAATTTATTGGTGTGAAAAATTAAATGTATAAACTTAATAACTAACGCACAATAACGTGCCAAAGTTGGATTACATTTTTGACACACCCTGTATAATATAAAAAACAGACCACTAATAAATATGCCCATTTTTATCACTAATAAATATGCCAAATTTTGTCAAGTGACGTTATCTTGAAGTCTTCTTGATTTATTCAATTTTGCTCTCGGTTCAGATCAACTTATGAGTCGGTCCCTACCTATCTGAACAGGCCTTTTAATTGGTTGATTATAACAATAAAAGACAATAAACGATAGAAATCATATTTCTAAAAAACGAATCATAGACACTTACCGCTTTTGTTTCAGATAACAAATTACAAAACATGTTTATATTACGTAGGTACTTACCGACAACTTATTGATACAAGCTAGTTGTATATACAGCTGATTCAACTATTTATATGGTTAAAATCTCGACTTCTAAAAGCGTGAACAGCGCGAATAACGTGCATATATGTAGAATGGGGGCATGTAACTGTGTTTTGTAAAATGCTACATAAATACAGAAGCATTAAGAAAGAGATATAAACACGGCCATTCTGCTTTTCTTTAAAAGAATAGAAGAGATGAAGCATTTAGTTAAAAGAATAAAACAGATGAAGCGTATTAGCTGCAACCTACGCAGTACAATTGGTTACAAATATACAGCAAACGTACCTCCCTGCTGGCCCAAGTTGTTTACAATATTAACAAGCACTAGATGGATTATTTGCACCGCCTCATCATCATTGTTACCAGTACTTCTTGCTATACATCTTACATCATGCTGTATATGCTCTTTTAAGAACTGGACAACATCTTGAACTGGTGGTTTTATTACAGCAGCAATACTCTGGTTAAAACATTGAAGTTTATTATATACACATCAATAAAATACCAGGATTTCTTAATAAATCAATATAATAATGTTAAACATCGTTGTTTTTTTCTTAAAAATATATGGCTTCAGCACTTGTATAGGAGAATTTGACAACAATAACCAAGAATATCTTTCGTGAGTTTTAGAAATCTTTCAAATTGAATTTATCTTCTAACTGTTTACCTAATTCTATTTAATTCGTTCTTTTCTGTAGAAAACGAATTTAAAAAGAAACTTTTCCGAACTATTTAATTTGATAATTGGCTCAAACAGTCAATTTGAATTGGTTCTCACAGACGCACTTAGACTAATTTGGCTAGTATTTAATTGGTTAAAAGAAACCTTGGCTACCTTCGCCACTGGATAGCTTTTCAGCAGGGACGCCGGAACGATAATAAGGCAAAGGGGGGCGGACGCACACCAAGGGCACCTCTATAGAGCAAAACTTCAAAATCTACCGAAAAAATGTTTTCAATGGAAATTTTTGGGCAACCCCCCTCCCCGTCGCCAAAAAATGTTCGGTCAGTGTACCATTTTAGGGGTCAAAAATTTTTTCCGGACATACCAAATTTTCCGTGAAGTCAAAAATTTTTCCGCATATCTTAAATTTTCGCCATTTCTTCGAAATATTTTTCAAAATTCCAAAAATTTCCAAAATTTTTATAAATATAAACTGTTAATTACCTGAATCTCATGATTTTCCTACAAAAAGCATCGTTGGAAATGTGATTTATCACGCACTATTTTACAACTAAAAGGGCACTTACTAAAAGGGCACTTACACTAGCAAAAGGCAAGGGGGGCAGCCGCAACCCCCTGCCCCCCCCCCCCAGTTCCGGCGTCCCTGCTTTTCAGTTTAATGATATCTAAAATTTCCTTACTTTTTTAAAAGAGGGTTAACATGATACAGCTATAAATTCCCAATGATGGTAAGGATTTGTGTTTAATATATAGGGTCAATTGACATACCGGAGTATCTTGCTCTGTTCCCAACAACATAGCTGCATGTGTCAGGCAACGTAATACACCACAAGACAAAGGAGTCAAATTTCGTTCTGATGTGATATTCTGTGGTTGAGCATGAGCGCGTCCGAGAATGTGACCGGTGCTACTTCGATCTTGTCTACAAATTTGCAACAAATAAAAATAAGATACGCGATGGGCATGGTACTACAGGGGGTTTAAATAAATGGTCCATCTTTTATGCTTAATAATAATATACATAAACTTGTTACTCGACTGTAATTGAGTACAAATTATGTGCTATATGCTGTGTTAATACTCTTCAAAAAAGGCAGTGCAATCCAAATTGCACTCAAAACCACCCTATTACCTACAGTAATTTTCATACATGTAATACTATTGTAGTATTACGTGTATGCAAATTACTGTAGGTAATAGGGTGGTTTTGAGTGCAATTTGGGATCCAAAACTCCGTAAATATTAAATTTACGTGGTGCAGTGCATGTTTGCACAAACCAAAACTGATACGAATATGAAATAACGTATTAAAATTGCATAATTCAACGGCATCTAAAACCAATTTATTACTCGCACTAAAGACACGAATGGCCACTTGTGTGAAAGGAAAAAGAATAAGGTTTAAATTAAAGCATTAAAACATTTCGTAAGGTCCCAGATCTTAATTACTTCTCACAGGGCGCTGTAAAACACGGCGGTGAAACGGCTTTGGCGTCCCTGATCTGTGTGATGCAGTACTCCCCACATATTTTGATTTTTGTTCGAATTCATGCCCTGCTTGTTTTGCCTTCTAAATTAGTAAAAACATGCAAAAAACACAATTAAGTTTAAAGCGATTTATAATGGTTTGGGGGATTCTGTATCATTACAATACAAAGGATTTTTACGGGATTGTACGCATAGAAATTGGGATATTGGAGTTTAAATAGAAATTATAAGCCCATGATTTTAACTATAATGAGAAGTTTGATTTTTTGGTGTGAGTTTCGAGAAGTCGGGCTGTTTTTCCTAAAACCACTGTATAGTGTATGCTATGTCTATAGTCTATAAAGGAGGTTTTACAACGAATTATTTTGCTGTCAAGCAACAGTAAGAGCTTGCGTGCATAGCACCATGCATTTCAGGTATGTACGATTAGATTTATTTTTTATGTTCTTGAGATCTGCATGATTATATTTTGAACAGAATGCATTCATGATCTTGTCCTTTTATACTTCTTGGTCAGAATTTTCAGACACAGATTCTGAACATGGCTGAACTTTGAAATATATAAATAATGAGTGACGCAGTTCTCCAGATTTTGACGAGTTTAGTAATAGCTATGTCATTTGCAGACTTCGGTGCGATAGAAGTTTCACATCAAAATCACACCTAAAGTTGTTGCATTTCTTATGTTACCTTCATAGTACATCGGCGTATAATGACATATGCATAATTCACGGTATTACAAAAAAAAATCGCCGAAAACGGACATTTTACTCTTCCCGGGTAGATCTGTCGAACCTGTGATGAAATTTGCAGACCTCATTTCGTAACATATATGTCGTCCCTGCGTTTCTGCATAATTTTACAGTGACCGGAGATTTTGACCTGTTCCAAGTTACGGGTAAAATTGGAACAGGTTAAAATTTTACCCATAACTCCTCAGTCCATAGGCCGTAATTCATTGCAAGAAGAACGATCTTTTACGAATTGTCGTCCATGTTTGATATGAACAAGAAGCTTAGGAACCAGGATTTCTTCCAGTGCGGGCTACACAGGGATAGCGATGTATCCACAGAATTTTTAAATGAAAAGTTGGTAAACGCCTAAAATATCTAGTAATATATCTATGCATCCACTTTAGTTGAAAAAGAATTCGTGCGCGCTTCAAATCAGTGGCAAGTTACAGCCATCGTACGGCTGTCATTGTTTATGAAAAAAGCACAAAAAAGTACCAGAAAGTAAATTTAGCATGAGACATAAAACGTAGTTAAATACCAACAGTTTGGTGTGTTCAAATTGATCTCAATCTACCTCACTGGGCATATATATTATTTTAAAGTTCATGCGAGCTTTAAATTTGGCAAATATTTTCATCGTTCAAGAAAAGTTTATCCCCTTTATTTTCCCTTGACAATGTTGAACAACAAAAGACACAAACCATCAAATGTCTTACAACTATAGCTGAAGTGTATTTTCATTTCTTATTGACTGATGCATAATTACTGATCATTAAACCTTACGTTTTCTCTTTTATTTGTTCGTCTTTTTATGTTGCCATGAGACATGATATCGTTCATTTTCTTAAAGAACGCACGTTCGTGCCAGTCTCATGATGCATCATACGTAGCTCGGTTATTTATCCACATGTTTTGTTTCGTATTTTATAGCGCCTTGGTGCTGACAATATACGACTTTCTTAATTCGTCCCTTTATAGGGCCTATATACCAAAAGCATCGTGATCTGTTTGCTCACGTCATTTGAAAGTTAAATAAGCTTAAATAAATGGTCCCATCAGCCTTGCCATATCAAACGTGTAGAGATATGGTTTTAATTAACGCGCGCGCATGCATAGCACGAGAATATTATTAATTTTGTACTGTGAAGAGACCACGCCACGTACTGTCTAGTGATTTCTCTCTTGATCTTGATCTTTGGGCTTTTCAATTTCAATTTACTCTCACATTTTGCGAGAAAACTTATAACTATACCAATCGCTAAAATGGATGCTTCATCCCATTTGTACAAAGGTCAGTCTGATGTTTATACGACGGCATGACGTGGCTGATAATTATGACTGTTTAATTAACTTGCTGCGATCACGACGCTTTTGGGTAATGAAACGACGAATGAATTATAAAGAAGTCATATATAATTAGCAGTGTCGAAAATCCGGGTTTACGGATCGAAAGTTTTGCAAATAATAAATTTACGTGGTGTTTCGATAAACCAAAACTGATGTACCATTATTCTTTATGCAAAACAACTAGAAACAAATTTGAAAAATATTTCATAGGTGGTTTTGTTTGAAATTTAATGTTGTTGTTGTCACACGAGAAAAAGTTCGGTTGCCTGACATTTTGCCGAAAGACACTTTGCCAAAAGACATTTTGCCGAAAGACATTTTGCCGAACGGACATTTTGCCGAACGGACGTTTTGCCGAACGGACATTTTGCCGAATGGATATTTTGCCGAACGGACAGTTTGACGAACGGACATTTTGTTGAAAATAGAAATATCTTCTGAACTTTAAAGGTTCGCTTACACGGTCAAAGTTTCTGTGATTAAAGTAATTAATTATCGATTTTGATGACACAAACTTTGATAGTGTATAGTTTCGTTTTATATTCTTTCAAGTTTTTGACAACTTTACCGAAAATTCGCGATATAAAGAATAACATCATTCAACATCATTCATGAATGTAATTTTCCCGAGAACTGTGAATGTATTCCATGATTCTCGAAGTGAAATTCGCTTACGTCGTTTTCATATACCCTTGTTTGTTTACGATCTGCCGTCAAAACACGTTCCTAACGAATGAGGCATCCGCTGCACAAACAAGCTACCAATAGTCAATAGTCAATATGGTTATGTACTGCTAACGACCATTAGTGTAATTTTTGCATATCAAATGAGCTTTCGCGCGTTCTGATTGGCTAGCTGACTAGTAAATCTGAGGCATTATTTACCACCTGGGTAGTAAATAATGCTTTTCAAAAAGAATGATTCGGCAAATTTGGTTTCAAAATCAACAAAATATTGAAAAAATCGTCCCCAGAAAACGAAAGAAGCACAAAATCTTGTATTTAACTTGAAAGGTAGGATTCCTTTATTATTTTACTGTGTCGAACATATTCACGGACAATTTAAAACTTATTTAAAAACTCCGAAACATTCACTTCAAACAAATAGCAAAAACCATATTCTTTTAAATCCATTTTATTTTGTATGCTATATATTTCCCAATTTGTACGATACTATTTCTTTTGATATGTCATTTTTCATTGTGCTGTATGGTGTTCTGACCGCTGTATTGTGTTTTCAAAACTTGTAATGTAAAAAGTGTTATTAAAACTTTATTTCGAACGACATAGTTTTACATTTCATTTTACCAAATTCCTCAGCCATTTCCTGACGAAATTAATGCCAAACAGAAACTATTTTTAATTTCTAAGTCTGGTGAAAGAGTCATTCCGTTATTGTGTTTATATTCCAACTGCAGAAATCGAGAAAAACAACTTTGTAATAAAGCATTAAAGTCACACAAGAAGCCATTTTGAAAGCGTGTGCGTACAAGAAACCAGGGGCGGCGGAACAGGGGGGGGGGGGCTAGGGGGGCTAAAGCCCCCCCCAGAAGTAAAAGTGAGGGGGGCTAAGCCTCCCAGAAAATTCTGTTTTTTCTGGAAAAATTGTGATAATTAAGGAAAAATTTAGGGTATTTTTTGAAAATTTAGGTATAAGGTGAAAAATTTGGTATATTTTGTTTAAAAATAGTGTATGTTAGGAAAATTTTTTTGTTATAGGTCCGGGAAAAATTCGTCCCTTTTCCTGTATATGTCCGGAAATTTTTTTTTACCTCTAAAATGGCACACTGACCGAAATTTTTTTGGCGACAGGGGGGGGGGGGGTTGGGGTTGGGGGGGGGGGGGGGGGGGGGGGGG